CAACTGCTCAAAAAAGTTAAATTGGTTACAAGGGAAATTACAGATTTCTTGTTAAGTCATGTGTTTCTTTGTGTTTTAAAATTTCTGAAATTGTTCTCATGAAAAAGATGGAAGGGAGAGTGGAGAAGGCCACCCTCAGGGCCTGAGGGAATATAGTAGGAAAAGACACAAAGTCCCACTAGATGAAAGTCTTCAGGGAAGCAAAGTCTGTAACCTACAGAGGATCCGGTGAAAACCCATTTTGGTTGGAGGAAGTTAAATATTTTCTCTACTCTTGGGCTTCAAAAAGAAACCATCCTAGACTTAGGCTATTAAAGGTAGACAGAATCACTGAAAAAGTCCCATCCTCGATACCTAGGGATATAAGCTGGCCTAAAATAGGCTAAATTGTGCAAAAGAAAATATACCCCACTCTTTAACAGACTAATAGACATTTTACATAATAGTGATACATATTAAGTAATCAGTAATAGAGGTCTACCACTGGAGAATGGATAAGAACTTGAAGAGATCTCTGAGGCACAAGCTTAGAGGAAACACCTCAAGTTGAAGGTGAAACAAAAACTTTGAGAAAATCTAACAATTTAGTCTTACACTCAACATAAGGTTATGCTGTCATTAAAAAAATACAGCCAATTTAGCAAAGAGCTGTTATTTTATTGTACTAAGAGTTATAGCTTCAATAGAATTCTCACTTGAGACAAATTATCAGTTGAAGGGATTGAGAACAATTTAATTCCTGAAGGACAAGATTTAGTAACTTTAAATATTTTGTATGTAAATGAATGAGAGAAAAGAGAAAGAAAATTAGTGTAGAGATATAGATGTTCTTAGCAGTAGGTAAGTCAAATTTAGCAAATGTTTGTTGAGCAAAGGTACAATTTACTAGTTGTATGTGCTTGACTAGAGAATTGAGTCAGTCTGTTAGCAGTAATCTAAGAAGCACACAGCTACTATGAAGTAATTAATTCATTGTATAAATGCCCTAAAATGTGTAATTGAAGTGTTAAATGTCCAGGTAAAGGAGTGCTTTGTAAATCAATGATTCTAATTTGGGGACTTGTAATAGGGGTGCCAAGTTTTTATTTTTACCATTAAAAAATTCCTCTGTTCCACATACCTCTAAAAGCAATCTCTCTCACATCCCTATTACCATCATTTTATTTGAAACTGACTTTTCATTCAAAGGAAAAAGAATGAATGCTATAAATTCACTAAATTTTAAAATTTAGATGAAGTAAAAAATAAATTTCCAAAATCAGTAAGAAGTAGAAAACTGAAAAGACCAATGAATACAATATTAAATCTAATTAGTAGTCAAAAACCTACCAGGCATACTTTTTAGGGACAAGTTTTACTAAACCTTCATGGACTGGAGTAATCCCTCATTTATAAAAACTGTTCTAGAGATTATAGAAAGGGGGAAAGTATGCAACTCAGTTTATAAGGAAGATAAACTTCAATAATAAAACTAGATAAAAACTTTAAATCGAAGTTCTGGGAACGCTCTGCTGGGATGACAGGAATGACTCTGCTGGAGATCTCATCCTCCATCAGGCTAGCCCAGGCATAGTAGGCATGTTCGCACAAGACAGTAAGAGGAACCTGAGAGCTAGTGGAAATTAGCCAGGGCATTTTTGAACACTTGATTTCATCAACTCTGCTGTTTCATTGGGCAAAGCAGAACAGATGGCTGAGTCCAGAATCAGGATTAGGGAGATTGTACTTCACATTTTGATGGGAATAGCTGGAACATCACACTGCAGAAAGCTGTATAGGAAGTGAGGCCATTAATAGAATCAGTCTGTCCCACATACTTAGAAAAGAATTTAACAGAAACTGTTCAGTATGAACCAAATGGAAGAAAAGCATGAAACTATGGAATAGATCAGTAGAAGAGTAACAGAAGAGAGTGTCCAGAAATATAACGTGAGAATTTGGAATTTGTAGAGATACCTCTGCAAATCAATGGGTTAAAGAAAATGAAGAGTTAATTAGTGTTAGCACAATGTTTTTATATGAGATATAGTAAAAATACAGGGTTACTTTACAGTATATACTAAAATTGCAAATGGATCAAGGACAGTAATTTGAAAAAATTACAATTATTAGAAAATACAGTAGAATATTTTTATGACTGGGGTAGAAAAGATTTAACATATAAAAAGCACAACAATAAACAATTTCTACATGACAAAATATTTAAATAATAATAAATGACAGGCTGTGAGAAAACATTTGATAAACTGATATTTCTAAAGAATGCTTATAAGTAATTGTAGTAAATTGGAAATTGCAGTAAACAGTGAATACAAAGGAAAAATAAAAATTATTAGTAAATATATGAAAATATATTCCATATCACTAGAAAATATCAGAAAAATATCTGATTTTATATTTCTATTCCTGGTGAAGTTCAGCCCCTTTAATTAGCGAAAAGTAAAGACATCGGATGTCAACAATATGTATACACAGGTTTTGTAGTATGAAAATTGGTATTGCTACCCTGGAAAGGAATTTGGAGATATCTGGTGACATTGATAACTGTGGGCCATGTCCTAGTCCATTAGCGAACAAAAGAGGTAAAGGTTCTCCCCTCAAAGAGCTTGTATTCTTACTGGTGACTGGTAAACAACCTTCTAAAGATAGGTAAAAATACTAATGTATATTAGTAATTGATATTGTCTCATGTATCACTGGGTTTTGTTCACATTTTAAAATTCTGTTTTCCCCCTATGCTTCAGATTGGCTAGTTCCTGTTGCCATGTCTTCTGGCTAGCTGAACTTTTTTCCTACAGTATCTAATCTTATTTTAATCCTGTCCCACGCATTTTTCATTTGGATATTGTATTTTTCATTTGTAAAGTTTCCCTTTATTTTTTACATTTAACCTTTTCCTCCCGATCATGTTCATTTTGTTCCATTTAAGAGCAATAGCTGTTTTAAAGTCCTTTTCTTTTAATAATGTTATCGCTATTATCTCTGACTGTGTTCATAGTGACTGAAAAGTGGTAATCTTTTATAGTGGAATATTTCAAGCATTTGTATAAGTAGAGAGAATAATATAATAAACCTGATATACCTATTAACCAGCTTCAACATTTACCCAATATGTTGTAGTTTCATCTATGCCTCCTACTTTGCCACCTCTGATTATTTTAAAGCAAATCACAGATAACCGTTCATACATGAGTATTTCAAGATGAAACTACTTTACTATTTTCACACTTAAGAAAAAATAACAGCTAACAACAATGTCTTAATATCATTTGTAACCGTCAGTGTTTATAGTTCCTGATTTGAAGATTTACGTGAATGCCACAAAATTTCAGCAAATGTAAAAGTTCCTAAAACTGAAATTTTTAAAAATGAATTATCTTGAAACTGTTAGAGAAATTGAATTTTTAATAACAATAAACCCTTAAGGAATCATTGAGACATACTTTTTAAATTTTTATTGAGATAATTATAGATTCATATGCAGTTATAAGAAAAGTTATAGCGTGGTCCTATGTACGGTCCTATGTACCTGTTACCTAGTTTCTTAATGGTAGCATTTTGCAATATTACAGAACAATATAGATACTGACATTGATACAGTCCCCCAGTCTTATTCAGATTTTCCCAGTTCACGTGTATGTGTAGTGGGAGGAGGAAGAAGAGGAAGAAGAGCAAGCGGAGGTTTAGATATTCACCACAGTCAGGTCTCCTGGGTCTCTTCTTATGTAGGTAGTTCTTCATTCTTCCTTCGTTTTTGTTTGTTTGTTTTGTTTTTTGTTTGTTTTTTACCTCGACGGTTTTGAAGATTACTGGACAGTTAGAATTTCTCGTGTTTGGGTTCATTTAATGATCACTTGTGATTAAATTAAGGTTCTGTGTTTTTGGCAAGAATAAAATATTGGATCCCTTCTCAGTGCATCTCAGGTTAGGTGTTACGTGATAATGATGTTGACTGGTGATGCTAACTTTAAAGCAATTTAAGGTTATAGTTCCTGTGAGAATTCTCTGTAAAGTTACCTTTTCCCTCTTAATAGTATCGTTTGGATGTGAAACTTTGAAACCATACTAATCTGTTTCTCAACATTTTTTTACCCACTAATTTTAGCATTCATTGATGAGTTTTGACTGAACAGTTATTGCTGCATTTGCCAGTTAGTGATTTTGCATTACTTACTTTTAATCACCTGAAATTCTATACTTGGCATTGTGGTGAACTTGCTTACTTAGAAATCTAAGTGAAATTGGAAGAGGCTTAAATGATCTTCTAGTGTCAACTCTTGAATAATCATAGGATGTTAGTGGAGGAATGCGTCTTAAAAACACAGAAGTTTCGGAATATATATAAAAAGTTATTAATTGGCATTTCTTTAGATTACAACAATGCTACTTAAAGTTGGTGTATAGATTGTTGCTTGTTGACAAATTACTGTTACTATATTTTCGTTGAGACAAGTTGTAGAAATAAAAATTAAGTGCTTAGAAATTTTGCTGTTATTTGACTTATCGCAACTTTTTTCTGATATTTAAAAAAATATTGGTCAGCAACTGCCTTCAGACATAGCCACTGGCATATGTGATGTAGATTTTTCACCTATCTTCAGCTTTGTCGTTATATATATATATTAGGGGCCAGCTCAATCTGGAGCCCAGAATTACAAAAGTATGCCTCTTTTTATGTGAGAGACAGACAGAATCCTATGTTTTGTGTCCTCAACATCATCACAGAAAGCACTAATTTTTAGAAAAGCTAAGAGAAGGAAAGGAGAGTAAAACTAATCAAGATAATTAGCACTTATAAAGAGGCCAGTGAACAAAAGATGCAAGGAAAAAATTGTGGAAGTAGTTCTGTTTGGTGTACATTAGTGGTGTCAGTTTATGTAGATCCTGCCTAGTTCGTAAATTTCCATTCTGCAAGGTATACAAGTATTAATATTGCTATTATTTTGTCCTCTGTAATAAATTCTTTACATTTGATCATTAATTATTTGTTCATTTTTTAGGAATACAAGAGTTTCCAGAAAATATAAAAAATTGTAAAGTTTTAACAATTGTGGAAGCCAGTGTAAACCCTATTTCCAAGTAAGTTGTTCTTTGTTGAATTATATTTCTTTTGTGAATAACTATGAAACTATGAATGGTAGTAGAATATTACAGCTATGAAATAGTAAAAGAATATTACTTTCTATATAAAATTTCAGTTTTAGATTTAAAAGCAATCTTTTAAATAATCTTTCTAACCCCATATTTTGCAGAAGTAAATTTGACATCCAGACAGATAATGCAAGTGTTTTGCTCCAGGTCTCACAGGTAGTTAATGTCAAAAATGATACTAAAATCCAGGTCTCCTCATTCATTGTTACTTGCACAAGAAAGTCTTCACTTGCAAATCAAATGTGTGACATGCTTAAACTTTTGAAAATATTGGAATAAAAGAAATAATATTTGAAATAAGAAACCGAAAGGTCAAGAAGGGAAAAACAATAAAGAAGGAAGAACTATGTAGTTGGATACACCATATACCAGAGGTGTATGGCTATAAACAGAACATTTTCCTGGTACCAAAGGTGTTAAACTTTGAGAAAGTGAAGCAGTGAAGCAAAAGATGAATAGAGTTAAACAACTTAGTATAGCTAAGTCGAAACCAGCTTTCACATATTATAATACTGTATTTAATGAGTTTTTCTAAACATAGCATTGCTTCACTTGCCATGGAAGACAGAGGAATGTGTCATAGGGGAGAAAGAAAGTCATTGATGTGCCTTACTACAGGAAAAGTTTGCACTTGATAAAATATGGGACAAACGTACTGATGTTGTTATATCTTCATCTGAAAATATTGCTATAGCATCAAGTTCTAGATCTGTAATTTGTTGCATAAGTCAGAGGGGAAAAAAAGTAAAGCCAATACTTATAGGTTTTTAGATGGCCTTAAAATGTCTTTCAATTTTTTATCTTATCCTCATTATAAAATTATACAGTCTTTATTTGATTATTTAGGGTCCAGATGTTGACATTGAAAATTATCTAAACCGATGTTTCTCAAATGGAGACTATTTTACCCTCAAAGTTTATTTGGTAAATAAATGCTGGAGACATTTTTGGTTTTTCACAGCCTGTGATGTAGGTGGTGCTACTCTACTTGCTTTTAGCACGTAGAGGCCAGAGTTGCTAAATGTCCAACAATGCAGAAGATACCCTCCTCATAACAAAGAATTATTCAGACCCCAAAGTAAATATTGTCAAGGTTTAGAATTTCTTTTCTAGTCCTTTGGATCAATGTTAGATAAGGCGAATTTCAGTAGTTCCTGAGGATGTCATAGTTATGTCTTCTAAATGCATTTCTGTGTATTATGGCTCATTGATACAAAAGGCAAATTTCAATTTGAGAATTACTTAGTAAAGAGGTGACTGTTATGTGTTAAGAATGTGTGTGTTGGTTAGACAAATTCTTAGATATTTTAATGAGACAAATTGTGTGTGTGAATTTAATTTAAATTTTGGTATATTTTATATAGGCTTCCCGATGGATTTTCTCAGCTGTTAAACCTAACCCAGTTATATCTGAATGACGCTTTTCTTGAGTTCTTGCCAGCTAATTTTGGCAGGTAAATTATAGCTTCTTCTAAAACCTTTTCTTGTTACCTACCTCTTTTAAAGTTTAAAAAACTGTAAGTTGCTTCAGTAATACTATTAATTACAGTTTCATAGGCTCTTCTTTTGTAATTATGTTTATAGTTCTTCAGAGCTTGTTATTTTGACTTTGAATTTATTTTTCCAAGTAAATAAGCAGTGAAAATTTAAAAGGAAAAAGTAATTTAAGTCTCGAATTGGTTTTTAAAGTATGCAAAAACTAGAGAGTTTAAATAGGGAGGGTAATTTCCGTATATTCGAAAAAAGTAATGCTTTAGTCAGCACATTTGAAAATTATCTAATTATTGGTGTATCTCTCTTCACTAAAATCAGAATTCTGAAGAAATGAAAATGCGTTTCTGGGGTCCACCTTATTGCTCTTCCCTCCCACCCCAACGCCTGCAAATCTGAACGAGAACAGTTCTTGTCATAGTCCCTGAGTAATGCTTTTAAATGAAAAGATGAATCAATAAATGAAGCAGTACTAGGTATCAAATTATTATTGTATTTAAATTAATTGCTAGAGGAAGTGCTATCTAACTACATGCTAATTTTATAGTCATCTTTTTGTCTAAAAATAAAGACAAATACCATATGGTCTCACTTACATGTGGAATCTTAAAACAAAACAAAACAAAAATCCCAAGCTCATAGATACAGAGAACAGATTGATTGGTGGTTGCCAGGGATATGTGTGAGGTGTGTGTGGAAGGTGAGGGTGGATTAAATGGATGAAGGTGGTAAAAAGGTACAAACTTCAGTTACAAAATAAGTAAGTCATGGTGACATAATGTACAGCATGGTGACTATAGTTAATAATGCTGTATTGTATATTTGAAATTATATCTTAAAAGTTATCAAAAAAATTTTTATTATGTATGGTGATGGATGTTAACTAGACTTATTCTGGTGGTCATTTCGCAGTATATACAAATATCAAATCATTATGTTGTACACCTGAATAATAATGTCAATTATGTTTCAATAAGAAAAAAGAATTCTGGGCATTTTTGCAGCCTAATGACTGTCTTATGGAAGCTACATTATCATACTTTATATATTTATATGCATGTAGTATATATATACATATACACATATATATGTATATACATATATAGAACTCATGTACTTGTCAGATTTCTCTTCTGTATCTGGCATTTGGACCACTTTTTATTTTTTATTGAAATATATTTGACACTTAACATTGTGTAAGTTAAAGGTAAACAGCATTGATTTGATACATTTATATATTGTAATATGATTGCTGTTGTAGCATTAGTTACCTTCGTACCATCTGCTCATTTTTCCTCTGAACTTACTGGAATGTGCATCACTGAAGTGCCAGAGGATTTTTCCTTTTCCGTGTGTCTCTTTGTGTTCCTTTATGTTTTCCTGTACAGTTGGATTATTATTCTTCAATCTATTAATGACTAATAATTTTGGGAGGTATTTTCGCAAAGAGGCATGAAGTGCTGTGGGTTTGAAATTTAGGGACAATCATTTTGTTCTTTGAATATGTCTGGAAGTGTTTACTCTGCCCCCACCCCAACTGATTCTGAGCAAAAATATTTTCTTCCTTTGTATTACTTTGTATTCCTGTATAATTTTAAATACAGTATTCCCACATTGTAATTACACAGTAAATATTGGTTGCTTTAAAATTTTAGAGTATGACGTTAACTTATTATTAAAATTCCTTGTCTTTGTCATAGATGCTTGATTTGTTTTCTTTGTTTTGCAGATTGATTAAACTCCAGATATTAGAACTTAGAGAAAACCAGTTGAAAATGTTGCCAAAGTAAGTAAAGGTGTTATCCTTTCTAAAATTTAGTTTATAATTTTTAATTCTTAAGTCATTAAAGAAATGTTAATTTTTATTTATTTGTTTGTTTGTTTGTTTATTTAACACCTGCAGCACCTGGTCTTCCTAGGTGGTCTCCCATCCAAGTACTAACCAGGCCTGACCCTGCTTAGCTTACGCGATCAGCAATGTTAACTTTTTAATATCAAAAATATGAATGCAAATTATTTTAAAAGACATTCATGGTGTTCGATATAAAAATCCATGTATCTGTGTTTGATGTTTAATAATAATTTCACAGCTCTTTGGAACTCAGACTTATGAGTTCCAAAGTCAAAATAATAAGTATATAAAGCCCATGAGTCCCAAATAAAGGTCTCAGTTCATTACTAGAGCTCTTACAGAGTACACATTAGAGAGATCCAAAGGGTCTTCATGTGCATTCTGTTAACTATAGTTCTAAGGGCTTGTCTGGTTTTGTCGTCTATGGTATATTAGAAATGGAGTGGAGGGCCCCCTGTTGGTAAGCTAGCAACCAGAGGAGATGGAAGTCCAAGATAAAACTAAAACAGATCTACAAACTCAAATTGCACTTTGTAGTTTGTGTCCATTTATTGAAAAAATGTCTTAAAACACCTTGAGTTCATTGCTACATTTTTTACAGTTGAGCATTGTCAGACTATAGTCTGTGGTTAAATTTGGCTCACCCACTGCCTATTTTTGTAAGTAAAGTTTCAGTAGCACCACATTTATTCATTTACATATTTTCTATGGCTGCTTTTACTCCACAGTGTTAGAGTAGAGTAGTTGTAACAGATTATATGCAAAGGCTAATATATTTACTCTCTGGCCCTATACTGAAAAGTGTGCTGACTCTGGTTGTAATTATCAAGTTATTTGTTACCTCTTCAGGGAAGCATCTCAGTTCCCTAGGAGTTAGTTGTTCTGTTTACTCAACTTCTATGGCATCTTATTTATATGTATTATGATATTTACCACATTAGTCTAATTTTTTTTATACATTTCACTCTCTTACCTGACCAACATATATACCATGTGCACATGCACTTGTATTCTCCCCTCCTCAGCGCTTGACTGTAAATCTTTAAGGGCAAAGAGGTATCTAGTTTTGATTTCTGAAAGACATTTTGTATTAGCTGAGTAATGGTTCAGTTAGGAATGATCAAAGTTTATAGTGATGGTTGTGAGTATTAGTTAAAATGGAATTATCCATATAAAATTCAAAAGGTTTAAATATTTTACAGATTTGATACTGGCAGTGATGACTCTTTAGCTCAAAACTTGACTTTTTTAAGAGATTTGAATAACCAAAATGTAAATTGTTTACTGAAATAGCCTACAATTAATATAGTCTATCTGATTTTATAAGTAATTTACTTATTGTAACTAATTATTTTAACTCTTTAATTTCAAATTTGCAAATATTCTTTCCTGCTTTTTAAAACTTAAGATTAAAAACTTCGAGACTTCACAAAGTATAAAGTCATGTGCATTCAGCTATGTGAGTGAACCTTTTTATGATCAAAGGTTAGAGCAGTGGGAAAGCTGTTTTTAGATATGTAAAGTGAAATTTAATGCCATCTTAATACTGGAGGGCACAGTATGAAGCACACAAAGGATGTGTATTTTTCCTCTGAGATAGGAGATGATAAAAATGAGTGAAATACAAAAGAATTTTAGAGGTAAACAAGAAGAAATTTGAAGGATATTGTTTCTACTATCTCCTTGAAGTAGAAAACTGGGTCTTAAATAAAAAGACTTGAAGATGAAAGGAAAATGAAAAAAATGAAATTTTGTGTCTTAAATTTGTGAGGCATATGAGTAGGATCAAAGTTGCCAGTATTAAGCTACAGTGAGTTGAGATGGAGATGCTTTTTTCAAACTCTACAAGATATTTCCTTTTTTATTGCATATATGTGTCATTCACATTTTCCTAAATCAGTTTTAAAATTTAACTTTCTAAGAGTGTTATTTGTAATTGAATTTTTCTGATACATTGTTTTTCTTTTTCGTACCCTCTTCTATAACTTACCCTTGTTGATACAGTGTTTAATCACTAGATATGAATTTTCTCTTTATCTTGTCATACGAATATTACATTAAGAAAAATAAGATTATGTTTTCTTCTTTCAGTCTTCTCCCCTCCTCACAGCCCTCTTTACTTTTCTGAAATGTCCACCTGATATAGCATAAACCTGGGAATTAAATATCATAGCATCTGATATTTCTTGAGAAAGATCTTGGAAACACCTTTTGTTTTGTTATAAAGCATACTAGAACTGACATGAGTTTTCTGGACAAAGAGATTTGAGTAAGGAAAGTGCAATTATAGTACCTCATAGTACCTGAGAACAGACACTCAATAAATCTAAGTTAAATCAGCTTTGAGAAAAATTGAAATTGGTGTGAGATGAATTAAATTGGCGTTGATAGAATGGTATATTTAAAATGAAAGGGTTGGGGAAAATTAGCTTCCTCTAATGTTAGGTCAGTAATATAGTGACATTACAATTATGATATGTGTTATATTTTTTTCACTGAAAAGCCAGAAAAACATTTTAAGTGAGTTTTTATTTTACTCACTACTTGTAATATGTTAAATTTCCAGAGATAGTGGAATATGCACATATATGTGCACAGACTTTATTTTTTGTACTGTATTTTCTCACTTTTCTGTGTTTAGATATGTTTAGATATACAAATACTTACCATTGTAGTACAGTTGCCTACAGTATTCAGTACAGTAACACGCTGTAGCCTAAGCTGTGCCATATAGCCGAAGTGTGTAGTAGGCTGAACCATCTAGGTGTTGGAAGTGCACTCTGTGATGTTCAAACAAGGAAATCACCTAACGATGCATTTCTTGGAACATGTCCCCATTGTTAAGCAAGGCATAACCGTATGATGGCTTCTTTTCGTAGAAATTTATTTTTATTTTGTCAACGTGAAAGCCAATACATTAGACATTACAGGAGAATGTTTTACACTGTTAATTTTGAAGCTTCCATGTAATTGATATTTTTGTCTACTTAATTCTTTATTAATCCATTGTGCACAGAACCATGAATAGACTGACCCAACTGGAAAGACTGGATTTGGGAAGTAATGAATTCACAGAAGTGGTAAGTTCTCACCAATCTCACTATCCAAGTCTTATATATCATCATGAACGAAATGTGAAAACTAATGTATTCTCTGCATTTTAAAGTATAGGTTGGGTAAAGAGATATACACATTTTTGAGAGACAAGATATAAAAGTTCTTAACAGAGCAATTTAACCAGATAGAAAGATCTGAGAGGAGTGAGGGTAAAATGTTAAATTAATGAGAAACCCATGGAAAAAAATAACTAAGTTCAAGAGGTCATAAGGAAAAATCAGACTAAAATCCATCAGAGAAGTACTACTTGTGAGTCAAAAATAACTCCTGGGGTTATTGCTTAGGAATTTATTCAATGATAAAATTCTTCTCTATAATTTTACTTAATAGCTAAAGGAAAAACACTGATTGAAACAACTCTTAAATTTTTTTTTGAGTTGGTAGTGAGACCTTTAGACTGTGTTTTTGCCTTGTGTATAACATATACTTTGATGCCGAATGAAAAAGAAAAAGTATGTAAGCAGTTTTTTGGCGTTAGTCATCATTCCAAGAGAACTCAGGAAATGAGCTAGATATATTTTTGAAGAAGAATTTATTAATCAGATATCATCATTAAAATTTTTACATTATGTTTACAAGTTTGTTTTTTTTAATTGTGGTAGATTCTAAACGATAGTCTTAAGAACAATTTTTCAGCACTATCGGCTGCATGATTGCCCTACGGATAATGTATTTTACATTTGCTCACTAAATAAATAGATAATCAGAGAGCTAGACGGGGAGAAAATAATTTAAATCATTTCTTCAATTAAATAAATAAATAAATAAATTGGTGATTAGCTTTTCCCTTGAAGTCAGCAGAGGAGCATGGTAGTTTTGGGTACCTCGTATTTTTTTTTTAAATACTCTCATATTCTTTATTATATTTTAATCGAAGATGGTTTTTGATGGCTTTTATTGTATGTTGTGGAAGGTTTTACTGCTTGTGAAAAAATACATATTCTGTGCTTTAATTTTCTAGCTATTCTACTTTATCAATATTTTATATGTATTAATCTATTTCCATATTAACTTTGAAAATTCTTAATCATTGTTAATTTTTATGACTCGGAGCAGCATTCAGAATCATTAGTTTTTGGACCATTTTGGTCTTTTAACATTATACATTTATAGAAAACTTACCACGAGAATTAAATCAGATAAAGCACAAAAGAAAATTTCTTTTAATCTAAGCTGCACCTATAAGTCTTACCTATATTTGTATGTTAACAGTAAATCCGAATGGTATTCCTTTTATGTATCACTCATGTTGTTATGGTGATTAGATATGTTGGTACTCTATGCCGTTACAGTGTCATTGATCGGACACAGGTTTATGGAGTAACAAAAATATTTTTGAAGGATACATTCAGAAGAGCCTTCAAGAGCAAATACCCAAGATCAAATTTTCCCTGAATATCAAGGTCCACTGCAACTCTTTAATATTGTGGTCTTCAGTACCACATTATAAATAATATTTTACCATGTAATTGCTGGGAGTTTAAAATAACAGAATTTGCTTACCATGTAATTATTGCTTGGTTTACTTTCCTTATTGTTTGTTACACATATAAGATGTATGTTGTCCAGTTTTTTCCTCCATCTTTTTTCTGAAAGTCTTCATCTTTTACAGATAATGGTTGACAGTATCTTTTTACTGTAATCTTGAAAGCAATAGTCCTTATTTTCATTTTTTTATTAATATAAATACTTGAGCTTATTATGGAACCAAAAGCTTAAATGCATTTTGTGCAATCTACTATTAGAGAATGTCTGTCTTTGAGTTCTCCTTTAATAATAGTGTTATAATAACTAAAAAGGTAGAAAGGCTTGAGTACTCACTCTGTTCCCCTCCGCTTTTTAAAAATTTTCAAACTAAAAGTTATCATTAGAAATTTCCAGGGAATTATTTGCCAAATAAAGACATTTAAGGAAATAGTTGGATTCTCACCTCTTCCTTTTTATCCAAACAGCCTGAAGTACTTGAGCAACTAAGTGGATTGAAAGAATTTTGGATGGATGGTAATAGACTGACTTTTATTCCAGGGGTATGTAAATCAAGTTTTTAATAGCTTTACTTATTGCTTTGTATTTTTTGCAGTTTTATGAATCGTACATTTTTGAATTACTTTTAATTAGTAAAAAGTTGGATATTTATTATTATTACCATTAGAAACAAGTTATATATATATTTACTGTCAACACATGCTTGATTAAAAATTTCCATTATTAACTTTTATAAAATGGTCTCTCTTTAATACATGGAGTATGTCTTTCTCAGTGGTTGCAGTTGACTTTATATCCTAATTTACTTTGTGTTAGAATCCCTGTATGTATTATCTCCCTAGCCGATGATGGATAGCTGAGTTCACCCAAAAAAGTATGTGTCCATTGCCACTGTGCTGAGCTAAAATTAGTAGGAGCTTTTAGCTTTATTACTGAATACATTACTAATGGCTTTTTAAAAGAATCTGAGTCTTTTTTCTCATATAAACATTTAATTATAAGTTAAAACTTGATATTAGATTATTGCCTAAACTTTTTACAAATTACTGCTGATAGTCATTAGATTTCCTTTTTTTATTTATAGTTTATCGGTAGTTTAAAACAGCTCACATATTTGGATGTTTCTAAAAATAATATTGAAATGGTTGAGGAAGGAATTTCGGCATGTGAAAACCTGCAGGACCTCCTATTATCAAGCAATTCACTTCAACAACTGCCTGAGACTATTGGTTTGTATTGCTTCCTAATTCATATAATTAATTTTTACTAATGTAAAATCTGAGAATTTTTTTGCTATTGCTTGATTTGTTATGAGAGTTTTACTGTACTGCTACAATCACAGATCTCATTTGATTTTTTTCTACTGTGATCAGTAATATAACTTATTCTTTTGTTGACATTACTGTATTTTTCTTTAAGGAAATGTCATTTTTATCACTGTAAAAAACTTTTTAATAAAAGAGAGGTAAATTAATCTAAACTTGGTTTAATTATTGAACCATAGCCCTTATCTGATAACTTTTTTCAGTCTTACTTCATTTTATACTCAAAGACAAGAAAACAGACCAGTTTTTGCAAATCCTGTGAGAGTCTGTATTTGTCTAGATGCTTGTCTGATGATCCATTAAGGGAATTGAATTTTTTTGATTAAAGAACCAAAAAACTTAAATTTTGGCATCTTCATGATATTTAAATATAAAGACCAAACATTATTTTTGCTTTTTTTTCAGTTGAATTACGTATTTGATTTAGTTCAGGTTACATTTTACAAATTCTACAATAATTTATTCAGCACTTTTAATTTTAAATTAAACTTCATTGTATTTAGTATTTAGTATACATGGAATACATAGAACAGTTTGTTATATACCTATGAAAACTACCTTCATATTACCATTTCTTTAATCCATTGATACCACAAGTTTGTATTTGTGTTTTTACTGTGCCATACATTGTTTTAAGGAGCAGGACTACGGCAGTGAACAAAGCAGACAAAAAGTTCCTTCTCTTATGAAACTTGCATTTTAGTGGAGGTTAAGTAGATTAATATACACTAATGTTAAGAAGGGATAATGTAGGTAAAAATTGAAAATACAGGGTAAGGGAATAAAGAGTGATAGGGTTGGTGTAGTGTCCCTTTTATATAGATTCCTTAAGGAAGTTCTGTATGATTCATTTCAAATGTAATAATATGTGCTCCATTGACTGTTGGTCGATTTGCTTCTAGTTCAGACTTGGAAAACTGTGTGTTATTTCTTCCCTCAATAGGTTCATTGAAGAATGTAACGACTCTTAAAATAGATGAAAATCAATTAATGTTTCTACCAGACTCTATAGGAGGGTAAGATTTTTGTGAATTAATAGAACAAGAAAATTTACTTTCAGTTCAGCATGTCATATATTTTCAGATAATTGCATAAATAGCATCTAAAGGAGATTTTATAAACATTCAGATAAGCAATTGTTTATAGGTTGGGTACATTTGTAATAAAAACAGGCAGATTTTTCATGGTGAAGTTTATCTTAGTGGAGATGGAATTTTTGCTAGTTTTGTTAAAGTCAAGTTTAAATGTTCATGTGTTCCTAAGTTTTGAATCATACATAGGAAATATTTTTTTAAATGTATGTTTTCTTAATTAAAGGTTAATATCAATAGAAGAACTGGATTGTAGCTTCAATGAAGTCGAGGCTTTGCCTTCATCTGTTGGGCAGCTTACTAATATAAGAACTTTTGCAGCAGATCATAATTACTTACAACAGTTACCCCCGGAGGTATTGTATTTTAAATTTGTTTTGAATTTTTATTTTTATCTATTTATTATAGCTATCTACTGTGGTTTTATTTTCTTTCAGAAATAATTGTGTAACTAAACCTTTTATTTTCTGAGTAACTATTAGCTATATTGATTTACAAGAGGTACCTGCTTTTCTTCATGAAAATTAATAATTGAAAAGGGAAAATATAATTTCTTTTATAAATGAGAAGAGTGTTTTTCATAACTTTTAAAAATGATATTTTACTTATGTCCATTAAGCTGTAGGATGAATTTTTAATACCCACTTTTATGTTTCTCTTTCAGATTGGCAGCTGGAAAAATATAACTGTACTGTTTCTTCATTCCAATAAACTTGAGACACTGCCTGAGGAAATGGGTGATATGGAAAAATTAAAAGTCATCAACTTAAGTGACAATAGGTTTGTAATAATGTCTTCATCAGTTGGTTCATAGAACACATTGATTGGATAAAATTAAAGTTTCCTTTTATGTAATAGCAAATCTAATGCATGTTCTTTTCATATATATTTTTATTTCTTGAATTTTCATATGAAAGAATGATCTAATTTTACCTGATGCTAATTATACTGTGGTTATTTATGTCATGGTTCATTTTGTGTTGACTTCATATATACAACCTTCAGTCTCTCCTTTATAGCAACCTTTTTTATTCCTAAAAGTCAGAGCTTCACCTTAATTAATAGCGTTTTTGAAAAACAGCTTTTAATCCAATCTGCTCCTTTTATTTTTCTGAGCAAAAGTGTCATTAGGCACCCACTCACATTGTTTGGACAACATAGCCAAGGTGCAGAGCAAATAGATCAATAGGGTTGCAAAATTTTAACAGTGTTTAAGAACAGATTGTTTATAGTTTTTTCCTGAGGTAAAGATACTAATGCAGTAGTACCCCACCTTATCGATGGTTTCACTTTCCGAAGTTTCAGTTACCTGCAGTCATTTGTGCTCTGAAAATATTAAATGAGAAATTCCAGAAATAAACATTTCATAAATATTCAATTGTGTACTGTTCTGAGTAGCCGTTCCACTTATGGATGTGAATCATCCCTTGGTCCAGCATATCCACACTGTATATGCTACCTGCCTGTTAATCACTTAGTAGCCCCCTTGGTTATCAGATCAACTCTTGAAGTATTGCAGTGCTTGTGTTCAAGGAACCATTATTTTGGTTAATGATGACCCGGAATCACAAGAGTAGTGATGCTGACAATTCAGATGTGCCAAAGAGAAGCCATGAAGTGCTTCCTTTAAAAGGAAAATGTATGTAAGTATAGGAAAAAAATAGGATTTGGTACTATTCTGGTTTCAGTCATCCACTGGGGGTTTCTCGGAATATATACCCCCGCAGATAAGGGGGAACTACTGTAATGGTAAAAGAGTGTTTGTAGAGCATTCTAAAATTTTGCTTCCATAGTATCTTAGAAAGTATTCAAAACAATGCTATGAAATAGTACAACAGGTATTCCCATTTTATAGAGGAGAAAATTAAGGTTCAGATTTAAGGTGACTCACATAGCTTTTAACATAGAGCTTTGATGTAAACCCAGCTTACTGACTAGTTAGGATGTTTCTCCTGTTCCATTTTATTTAAGTACCACTGCCTTTTTTAAAAAATTAAATCCTTGTTTTGGCCCTTACGTTGTACCCCAAAACTAGAGCTCTAGGTTTCAGCAAATTGCCATGGAAGATAAGTATAGAAGAGAAGATAAGCGTAAGACAGAAGGTTTACGTAGACATTCTATTTTAAATAAGATTTTATTCTAATTTAGCATTCTAATGAGTATTTGTATTACTTGGTTTTTACTCATTATTATGTTAAAAGTCTCAAGTAGGAAAGTATTGGCTCACAATGAAATATATAGAGCAGTGCAATTTTTATAACAATTACCAAATATTTCCTATAAGTTTATTCTCTCTAAATACAAGAAAACAATCCAAAACAATTTTATGAGACATTGCTTAATCTGTCCTTGTCTTTCGATTTTTTCATTTAACATCTTTCCATATTTAATATTTTTTCTTAATATAATTTTTTGAGATTATTATATTATTTTTCCCCAGCCAAATTTGTTCAATCAAAGAATTATATTTTAAAAGCAAATTCTTATAAAACTGGATAATATTTTACCTTATATCCTATTCAGAGACCTGTATTGGGTTTTTTCCCCTAATTATTTTTCTCCTATTTTCATACGCGATAATATAACACTGTTTAGAAGACCATTAGATTTACTCTCATGTTTTAACATTTCTCATTTTAAAGTTTAATTTTTGTTTGTATTTTTTCCCACAGATTAAAGAATTTGCCCTTTAGCTTTACAAAGCTACAGCAATTGACAGCTATGTGGCTCTCAGATAATCAGGTAGGCATTCTGATTTTCTAAATTACTGGAATTCCAGTTGTGCTATATGATTATGTATTCTAATTTACATAGGATCATTTAAGAGCAGTCATATTCCTGAATATAAGTAAACTATATTATATAAAGGAAATCTTAGAAAATATTTGGATACAGATAATTTTTGTGAAATATGTGTAAATTCATAAATAATAAATCCTGTTGGACTTACCTAATTTCTCCCAAATCTGGAAATACATATATGAGATTAAAAAATCAGACACAGTACTCTTTTTAGTTTTTAGAGTGATCCTCTATGGCATATACCTATAGAAATTTGATAATTAATTTAAATTATACTTCTAATGAAGCACTTTCACATACCTTACAGAAGTGTTTCTAAGGAATTAAGAGTTGTTATTCTTTGGACTTTTCTTCATTTTATAAACATTTATGAAAGCTTGCAGTAGGTCACGAACTGCTCTGAGAGCTGGAGATGTATTGGTAAAGCAAATAGAATGTTCTTACATTCTCATTGACTTCATATTCTAATGAGAGACAGAGATGAACAAGTAACTATGTAATCTTTCAGAGATATAAAGAAAAATAAAGCTTGATAGGCATAGGCATTAGAAGATTAGCAGAGTTGAATGTACAGTTTGCTGATCTTTTTCATAAATTAATGATTGAGCAATTATTTATAATAATTTATTTGAAGATATATTCTCACAAGGTTTGACTACACTAGTCGTGTGATATATTTATAAATTCCATAGTCAAATTCACTTGGGGGACTGTATTATGTCCCTCTTTTGGATCATATTAACAACCATGATGTGTACTACAGTAAGAAAACTCACTTGTCCATATTTTAGGATTCTTCAAACTTCTTAACTGACGACCCCTTTCCATCTAACTTTTATTTATACTCTAAAAGCCTTAAGCTGATGTCAGTCCACACTTATGAAAGCAGACTGTAGTTTTTACTTGTTCTGCAAATTAGGGAAGAAAATATTAAAATGATAACACCTTTGCTTTTATTAGAACTTGAGCACAAGTGATAATCGCATCTATTAAATGTGTCAGTTCATACATCTATGGCACTCTTAATTATCTAATCTCTCTTAATTGAATATTAACATTTGGAACTTGATTTTAAATTTTATAGCTGGATTTATAAAACATTTGCTGGGCCTTGGCTTATGCCATTTAGTTACTACAGTGTAAATGAGACATAGCTCCCAATCCTGAGGACTCTGAGACTGTTAGTATAATAGCACCATGGTGGGTACATCAATGCCAGCATATTTTGCCAGATGACTCATTTTAGTGAAATTATGTGGTAATAAATACAGCTTCTTCATATTTACAGTGTTATGTCATTCTCTTGCTCCTCATTTGTTAATTACTTTAAAACAAAAATTGTGGTCATGGGAGCTTTGTGTTTTCCTTAGTTTGACAAAATAATAAAGTAGTAAATAGTATAACACATCCAACATAGCTACAAAAACATCCCTTACAATATGAAGCAGTCATTTTGCTGTAAAAGAACAAAGCATAGGAAAGAAGGTATGTTAAATTGGTTTGATTATGATTATAAGTTGCTCTTGAATATTTCACTGACTGTGTAGGGGATATACATATAGGCAGTACATACAATAACATTTTTCATGAGTCTCTCTGAAGGCTTGAACAGAACAATCGATTATTCACTCCTCCATTCTCATTCAAGAACCATTTATTGAACAAATGCTTTGTGCTAGTCAAACTAAGGTGGGCTAATAAAGGCTGTTAAGAAGGTCATTTTAATACAGTGTGATAAAAGACTTGGTAGGACGGGGCTTCAGGATCAAAGAAGAGGAGCATAACTTAGGGATGTAAAAGCATATTTCCCAGAGGAGGAGATGCCTACAATGCCCGATTACTTCTCAAAGAGTAATAGAATTTAAACAAAGAAAGGGGAAGAATATTAAAAGGAATATCATGAGCCTAAGCACTTACTGGTGAAGCAATCTAGTATATTTGATAACTTTACAAATGGTTCATGTGACTAGGGCATAACTTGTTAGACTGAGGAGTATGAAATGAGGCCAAAGGGATGGGCAGGGACTACCAAGTCATAGAGGATTTTGTATGACATGCAAAGGAACTTTCATTATATTTCAAGGATGGTAAATAGATTTTTTATCTTGCATGTCAGCTCTGATAAATTATGAATGGCTTCTGAAAGATTGTTTTAAGGATTCTGAAGCCATGTTCAGGCTCAGAGGAAAATTGCTGTGATTAAGGTGATTATGTAATTTATTGTCTATACTAGGGTAGGACACTTCTGATAGTGAAAGGTGGCTCTATGGTAATTATGTCAGAACAGCATGTTTAAAATGGGACTGTCCCAGGCAAATTGGGTATTTGGTCATTATAGACATAAACAGTTATTCATATATGTCATCAGTTGTAGAGAGAGAAGTGATCCTGTAATACATTTAAACCTTCATATAGAAGATGGGGAACCAGTGTAACACATGAGCAGATAAATGCTATGGTCACACTGATATTTTAGAAAGTCTTTTTGGGCTGCATTATGAAAGATGGATTTAGCAGGGAGTGGTGCCAAGCATGAAGGCAGAGGAGACCGATTAGAGGGCATTGCCATACTTAAGGCAACAGAAAATGTTGGCTTGAAGTAAAGTAATGATAACAACACTGAGGAAGAGTGGCGTATTTAAGGCATAACTTAAGTCACATCAGTACAATATTTGAAGAGCGCATATATGTGAGAAAAAAAGAAGTCAAAGTAGAGATGAGCCTCGGAGATTTTGCTTGAGTGACTAGATGGATATTGATACCATAACCAAGATAGGGAACCACAGAGAAAGAAGTATGTTTATGGGAAGATGTTAAGTTCCAGTTGGACACGGTGAGTTTACAGTACCTTTGGTATATCCACGTAGGCATGTATAGTACAGTTCTAAGTGTCCATGAGCCTCTCCCCACCCCCACAACTTTGTTTTATACCGTGGTTTCTATGTTCTTGGTTTCTTAATTCTTTTCATTTCTGACCTCCAAGAGTTTCTCAGAATTTCTCCTGAAGGCATAAATACCATTATAGATTTATTCCTTTTTTTTTTTTATTTGTAAAATTTCTTTATTCAGAAGTTTTGTGGCACAGGAAGAACTATATGGTTCAGCCTATCACCTTAATTACTTTTTCTAGGAGGTGATTTCATGGGTTTATTATTTTCTTAAAATGGATAATATAAAATTACTATTTTTTAAATGTTAGCGATTGATGAATTGTTGAGGCAAGGTTTATATTCCTAAAAAGAGTGGGTGTTTATACTTGAGAGGTAAGTAATGATCTCATAGCATTTATAAGCACTAACGCACCTCCTGACCTAGCGTGTATGAGGTGTGGGAAAATAAGCAACCTGTATTTGAGAAGGCTTCAGGGAAGCCCTATCTTTGGGGAAGGAGTAGATCTATCATTTCCATTATCTGAGGAGGTCAAGGAAACTTTTCAGTGAAGATGATGTCTGAGATGCAGAGCAGTTCGTTTACTGTGGAACAAGGAGAGGGCCACAGAGGGAATGTTTGAATGGGTGTAAGATTATAGCTAGCTGCAAGGTTTTCACAAGAATAAGTCCAAAAAAGTAGTTGATACTGTGGCAGAGCAGAGGAGGATTGGGTAGTTCCCTGCTTGTCTGGAGTCGGCCAAGACTTGGATTAGTAGGATATTAGGTGGGAAGGCTGGTACAGGTATTAGTTACATTAAGTAAATTGAAACTACTCGATAACCAATTAGGAAAAAATATTAAGAAAAAATGAGATCCAAAATAATGAGCTTCTTAATTCTACCACTGAGTAATTTGTGATGCAATTAATGGAGACAAGAGAAAAGCAGGTTACAACTTAACTATTTGAGTACTCTCTTTTCAGCTAGATTAAACCTGCAGATAACTAGAATAAACCTTCTAAGCCATTTCTACAAAAGCATCTTTTCAAAGGGGAATGCTGCAAGAGGAAAAATAATATCAAATGGGAAGGCTTGTTTTATAGCTTTATTAAATCACTATGCTAAGTAATTATTGGACTATGGATATGAGATCTTTAAAACTATTGATAACCAGTGATAATTGCAAGACAGTGTGATTTTGCTTTATTAAAAACTAAATTTTAGAGATTTTTATGAGGTTTTAAATTAATGCTTAAATTTTATTATGTATGTTTAAATTTGTTTTTATAACAAACATTAATACCTTACAGAAAAAATGGTACTTATTCAGAGGAATTGCTGGGTATATATTTGCTTTAGACTTAATGAAAATTAAACATTTGTTTTCTTTCCTTAGTCCAAACCCCTGATACCTCTTCAAAAAGAGACTGATTCAGAGACCCAGAAAATGGTGCTTACAAACTACATGTTCCCTCAGCAGCCAAGGACTGAGGATGGTAGGCATTTAAGAATATCTTTTCTTTTAAAACAAATACTGATAAATTACAACAAAGGCGTGAAGTAAATTTTAAGTCTCAAAGACTTTTACTAATTTGAAGTGAATTTGTAGAATTAGTCGATAAAATTCTCTGAAAATGGGCAACATCTCAGAGTTATGGAATTTAGAGGTATATATATATATATAATATACTTCCTTAAATGATTCCTTGAAGTTAAACAGTGAACATCTATTATAGATCTCTCTGTTATAAATCATATTTAGCTAAATGTTAGGAATACATCTTAAGTGTTATGTTATTAGGACTATTAAGCCAGGAAATATTTTCTTTCACTTCTGTTGTTGGTTGTAGACTTACTACAACCCTTGGATCTACACATTGTATAAAGATAATCTGCAGACTTTTGACTAAATGTTATTCTAAGTTCTTAATTACATTTTGCCAAGAAAGGGAAATATACCTTTTACTACTGGCCACAAGTGTTTTTCAACAATTGTGGTATGGAATGCCTTTTATACTAAGGAGCAAATTGTTTCTAACATACGTTGTGTTCTATATGTGTATGATATATGTGTACTTAAAAATATAATTTTTACGTGTATATTTTTCCGAGGCCAGTGAAAATCTTCATGGCTCCAAGTTATTTAGAAATAAACTCTTAGTACATGTAAACACTAAAGATAAAATCTAAACTAATCATTAGTTTTGATTTATAAAATATACCATAAGCAAATTAAACTCTTGAGCTTTGGTTTCTTTATCTTGAAATAATAATAGTATCAGTTTTGTAGGGTTTTTGGAAACTGCTTGGCTCTGCTTGCCTTTTCAAGTATACCATAAAAGTATGTCAGTAGGGACTCCTAGCAATTTGAACCACATTCAGCAAACAAAAAAAATACTCCACTTCATTAACTATTAAGCAGCTACACAAAGTATTTAAAATATTCTTGGACTAGGCAATGAACACAAAGGAAAAACTGAATTCAAAAACTCCATTCCCATTGTTTGTATTTGGTTTCATGGCATTCTTAGTTTGAGTATGAGATTAAGAAGGTTAAGAGGCCAAAAATAAGGACTAAAAATATCATTATCCTACTTTCGCATAAATGTTCATATTGTCCATATTTGGGTATTCCAGGAATTTGTTTTTCTATTAGCTAATTTTAAATGCATTTAATCCCTGATTTTTTGAGTAGATATACTCATTTTCTTTTAATGGGCAGAAAACAAGTTGTGATTTTATTTGTATTGTACAAACTTACAGGATGATATACAGTGGTCAAATGGATTAATTTTTTAAGCTTTAGATTTTTTTTTAGTTGCCTAATAAGCAAAAAACTGTAACAGTTGTTAAATATTTACCTGTAATATTATCATATAGTAGGATATGGAAGTATTGAGTTTATATTAGACTCTTTATTTTCCTTACATTTTGATATAGAAAATATAAGCACTTTATTCACTTAATAAAGTTATACTATATATAATGTGTAATCCAGAGATGTAATTGCATGCTGTCATGTAACATATATCATTCTTTTTTTACCAAATATCTCACTCTTTTTGCTTTAACCACCTCCCCATTCCCAATACATAATGAACAATATTTTAATTAGGAAGATAATTCCTGAATGCAAAGACTTGGATAAAATAATTTATATATTACTATGTTACTTTTTGGAGGGAACTGCACAAAATCACATATCTATAGTGTTTTAATTGTTAGATTCTCTTCAGGAGCCCTCTAATAACAAAACAATACAAATAAGCTTTAGGGAAGAAAAGATACATAATCGATATTGTAAAGCAGTGTTAGAAATAAAAGAAAGAAATGTTAGAATCACAGCCTAGTTGTTAGTGTAGATTTATAGCTGCTGGCATTGACCAGTCTTGACTTACCTTAACAGACATATCTCATAAAGAAAATCATGAGCAAGTAATAGTTTTTCATAATTACAGTAAAATATTGTGGACTTTTTTTTTATAGTTATGTTCATATCAGATAATGAAAGTTTTAATCCTTCATTGTGGGAGGAACAGAGGAAGCAACGGGCTCAAGTGGCATTTGAATGTGATGAAGACAAAGATGAAAGAGAGGCACCTCCCAGGGTGAGTATGTTCTTTCTTTCTTCAGTTTGAAACAGGTCTGCTGGTATTTATTGGGTACTGTATATCCATCCTGTGCTGTTTTGGCGGATACAAAGAAATGTATTGGTTTTATTCTTTGCCTTCAAGGCATTTGAGGTTTTATTAATTATATATCACATAATATCATGTGAAGGAATTTGACAGTAATATAAAACTATGTGATTGAAAACCAGATTTCATACTGTATATAAATATAACAGAACAAAAGGTCATTGTTTTTCCCCTTCCCTTTCTTTAATGACATTCATATATATTCCAGGGATAAAGAACTCTGTTATGAACCTTTTGTTTCTTTATGACGATGTGTGTCACAGTGGTAGAAGTAACAAATACACACTTCCAAGTTACTTATGAATGTAATTCTTTTCCGCTTATACAAACTAACTGAATCCCAGGAAATGACGGGTTGATCTTGGAAGTGCTTGGTTCATGGCACATAAGACATAGTATGTAAAAGTAGGAATTTTATATGTGTCTGGATAAATGTCTAGCTGGAAAACATATATCTGTTACAAAGCCAAGTTGGCAATATGCATACCGTATATCTCCAAATGGGATAAGTTTATGTCTGCTAAAAAAGGTTTTAGAACAGTAAAATCTATGACTGTGACATCTTCGACTGTTGATGAAACCATACTTTTATTGAGTCTAAAATGCTTTCAAAGGCCTGTCATCTGTTTTTAAAGTTACCCCTATGAGCCATATATCCAATGTTATAAAGATAGATTATAGATTAAATTTCAAGGTTGATGTTAGAAATATTTATATTTAAATTTTGCTTGTTTTTCTAGGAGGGAAATTTAAAGAGATATCCAACACCATACCCAGATGAGCTTAAGAATATGGTCAAAACTGTTCAAACTATTGTACATAGATTAAAAGATGAAGAGACTAATGAAGACTCTGGAAAAGATTTGAAACCACATGAAGATCAGCAAGTTGTAAATAATGATGTGGGTGTGAAGGTTAGAAAACTCAATTCAAAAGAATTGACCGAAACCTATTTCAAGTTCTTTAAAATTTTTAAATAATAATCAATCTAATGATCCTTTTTGTGTAGACTAAATGTATTCTCAAATTTAGGATGATGTTCTCAACTGCCTGAACTAACAGCTATAATAAGTGAACTCTCTGATTGTTATAATGATTGCAGACTGTCCAGACTGTCCAGATGGGTAGGAGTGTCAGCGTAGGCTTTAAAAATTCATGATTATAGGAATACTTTTTCCCCACTGGTAATATCAATTTACTCTACCCAATTCTAATTGTAAATGTAATTGCTATGACAGACCATTGGCATTTATTTGGGATCTTTCAGAAACCTACATAAACTCTTAAATTATGTGTTCCTTTAATGGACTTTTCTTCTCACTTAGTAGCACAGAAACAGAAGTTTTATCATGTCACTAGAGTTATTATACATCCCACAATAAGCAGAAAACAGTCTAACCATCTTATGTTCATTGAGCATGATGAGCTAAGTGACTCACTCATGAACATGAGTTTTGCACCTTCTAAGATGAAATGTAGACTCAGCTGAACTGTAAAGTTGGATGTGGCTCATGGACCTTTGGGGACCACCTGTTCCCAAAATGAGCATTTCATCTGAATGCTACAGATTTCCACGTTTAAAGTTTCATTGATTTATCCAGAATAGGAAGGTGTTAAATTACTTTTAAATTTTCATGAACTTTAATACAAGAATAGATATAAAGCCTAAGGAATATGATTTCTTTATCTTCTCTTTTACTTAGACTTCAGAAAGTACTTCTCCAATAAGAAGCAAAGCTGATGAAAAAGAAAATTATGTGATAGGAAATTCTATACAGAAGACCAGTGAACCTGAAGCTGAGATCAGTCCTGGGAGTCTGCCAGTGTCTGCAAATATGAAAGCTTCTGAGAACTTGAAGCATGTTGTTAATCATGACGATGTTTTTGAGGTATGGCTTTATGATTATTCTGGAACGGTCATAACAATGGATAAGAATTTAGTACTTCATCATTGCCAACTGAAGATAGGAGAGATCTGATATTGACAGTAGAAAACATGCTAATACATTTACCATTGAGAAATTTCATTTTTACTGTAATATCACTCATTTATCACTTTAAACTTATTTTACTCATTGTACTCCAGTGTTTACTATGTAAGTTAGATTATGGCAATTCTACTCTACTTCTGTAGAATACATAATAGCAGTTGCTTTATTTAAAAATGAAAAGATTGTCATAGGTATACTTCGTCACTTTATTTAAGCATTTCTCATTGATAGAGACGTATTTTTCCTTTGAATGTCTGGGACTTTTTTTAGTTTCTTCTCATGGATCAATGAAAGCTATATATTTTTTTTTAAACTTTATTGAGGTGTATAACTCACATAAATTCACTCATTTCAATAAAGGGTACAACACAGTGGCCTTTAGTATTCTAAAAGATGTGCACCTTTCACCACAGTCATGTTTAGAACATTTTCATTACCCCCAAAAGAAAGTCTGTACTTCTTAGCCATCACCTGACAACCATTCTATCCCCCTGAGCCCTAGGCAGCTCGGAATCTACTTTATGTGCCTGTATAGATTTGGCTATTCTTGGCATTTTGTATAATCATACAGTATGTGTGGTCTTTGTGACTATTTTATTTTGCTTAACATAATATCTTCAAGATTATCTATATTGTAGTGTTTATCAATATTTCATCCATTTTTTATGTCTGAGCAGTATTCCGTTGTAATGGCAAATAATGGACATTTCAGGTACTTTCACATTTTGGCTATAATGAATAAGGCTGACATAAATATTTGTGTGGATATATATTTTTTCTTTTGGGTATATACTTAGGAGAAGAATTGCTGGATCATGTGGTAGTTATATGTTTAACTGTTCGACAAGCTGCAAAACAGTTTTCCAAAAGTGGTTGCACCATTTTACATTTCCCTCATACACTACTGGAAGTAATGGAAAATGGTAAAGCTGTAACTCTTAAAAATGAAATTTCGAAATATTTTCGATTTATAGCTGTATTGTCTACTCTTATATACTGGCTACAAGTGACTATTTAAGTAAATAAAATTAAAAATTGAACTTCTCAGTTACACTTACCGTGTTTCCATTGCTCAGTAGCCGCATCTGGCTAGTTAGTGTCTACCATGTTGAACCACATAGATCATGTCCATCATTACAGAAACTTCTATTGGAGATCGCTGGTGTATATAAAAATTGATATTCTAGATTTATAATAACATCTTTATTCTTGAAAATTTAAATATGTTCAAAGCACATCATCTGTCTTTACAGTTATCCTATGAGCTAGTATTTACTACAGGAAAAAGCTCATATGGCTTTTGAATGTCCTAATTGGATCACATCATTCAGTACACTATTATGTACGTTGAACCTAATATAACAGTCTGTAAAAGGGTTATTAGGTTTGTCCCAGTGACGTTATTACTCATTTAGTATAATTTTTGTGTATAAGGGCTGTGTTTGGAGCTATAGTGGCAGAATGAGTAAATGAATGTATAGAATATAATTAAAGTTAGACTGTGCCGAATGTGTAAGAAAAGTACTAATCAAAATATTAAGGGCTACAGAAATTTAGTAAAGAGATATTTTCTGGCTATGATGATCCACGGGTGCTTTAAGATGAAGGAGGCATTTAACCATTTTGAAATATTTCAGTCACCAGAGCTAGAACCGAATGAAGTATGGAAGGACTAACAAGAATGACTAACAAGAGCAGGATAGTGGTGTTTAGAAATGTAGAAAAGAGCATGTTCCATCTGACTGAATATGCCAGGGGCGATAGTATGAAATAAAATTAGTAGAGTAGATTGGATCCTGATTATTGAAGCCCTGAAAGCCATTCTAAGAAGTTTGCACTTAATGTTCTGTAGTCTTTGGGGAACCACCGAAGGCTTTTTAGCAGAGCATTACTTGTGATAGAGCTATGTATTAGGAGTTATCTGGCAGCAGATACTGAATTCTCCAAGTTTGAGGGCTTTTGAATAATGGTAGTAGAAAATGCAGACTAGGAGTTAGTCACAAGATTACAGATATAATGTGCGAATACCCTTGCCTATAAGAAATGGAGAAGAGGGAACAGTCTTGTAACTGCCCAAATAGAATGACAATGCCGTTAATAGAAATACGGGTATTAAGAAAACAGCCTTGTAAAGACAAGTTTGTTTTTAGATATGTCAAATTTGAAGGAATGGCAAGACCATCAGGTAGACATATTCAGTAGGTAGTTGGTAATGTGGGTCTTTAGCTCATGAGAAATCAAAGCTAGATTATAAATTGGAGAACTGTCTGTATTAAACATAATCATTGAAGAAAATGCATATCCAGGGAA